ATTAAAATAAATAATACTTTTTATTAATATAATTATAAAATAATAATAAAAAGTTTAAATAATTTAAACGAGAGAAGGAAAAATTTGTTTGCTTTAAAAGCCTAAGAATCTTAACTTAAATAAATTAAAATATTAATTATTTGTTGTATAAATATAATAATAGTTGAGAATTGAATAGATTTGCTAAACAAAATGTTTTAAAGCCGTTATTTTAATAGGAAAGACTGATAATGTTTATTTATTTTCAGCCAAATTAGTCAGATTTAGTCAGAACAGAAACAGGCCTGAAATATAATATAAATATAATATAATATATTATTAATAGAATGCATGTATAAATATTAAATAAATGAATAAAACAATAATATAAAATAATAAATATAATACAAATATTTACAAAAACAATATTTGTGATGCATAATAATAATAAAAATAATAAGCAATAATATGCAAAATTAAATAATGATAATATTATAATTGAATCTAAAGAAAAGTTCGTTTGCTCTTAGTGTTAAAGAATCTTAAATCTACTTAACTGAGTAAACGAAAACAATATTAATCATCTGTAAAATAAAAACGAGAAAGAAGTGCTATCTTCGGCACACCGAAGATTTAATACCCTTGCAGACCAAACCTTTTCAAAAGGCTCATAGTGCTTTGCCCGTATCTAAGAAGCACAGGGAAAATAGTTATTGCCGAGTATGGTTAAGATATCATAAAAAACAAAACAGGTTTCCATACAACAACTTAATTTTCGACCGATCGTTCCTATGGCAGCTATATGATATAGTAGCCCGATGTGAATAAGATTTTGCATAAGTGGAGGGAGCATAGTAAAACTAATAAATGCCGAGCTTGGTCAAGATATCTTGAAAAACAAAAAAAATTCCATACAACAGCATAATTTTCGACCGATCGTTCCTATGGCAGCTATATGATATAGTTGTCCGATCTTAATAGGATTTTGCATATATATGGGGAGCGTAGTAAAACTAATAAATACAGAGTTTGGTCAAGTTATCTTGAAACACGTAAAAATTTTCCATACAAAAACCTAATTTTCGACCGATCGTTCCTATGGCAGCTATATGATATAGTTGACCGATCTTAATAGAATTTTGCATATATATGGGGAACGTAGTAAAACTAATAAATACCAAGTGTAGTAAAGATAACTTTATAAACAAAAATGTTTTTCATACAAGAACCTACTTTTCGACCGATCGTTCCTATGGCAGCTATATGATATAGTTGTCCGATCCAGCTGGTTTTGACATATAAACTGCGTGCAACAGAAAGAGGGAATTCTGCAAAGTTTCATAAAGATAGCTTTAAAACTGAGAGACTAGTTCGCATAGAAACAGACAGACGGACAGACGGAAATGGCTATATCAACTCGGCTGTTGATACTGATCAAGAATATATATACTTTATGGGGTCGGAGATGTCTCCTTCTATGCGTTACACATTTCACGACAAAATTATAATACCCTCTGCAAGGGTATAATAATAATAGTTGCACATTAAGTATTTCCACTAAAAAATCTTTTCAAGCCGTTTTTAAGGTATTCATACTAAATATAAGCATTTTAAAGCTGTTATTTCAACTGGTCTGAAAATGTTTTTTCCAGGGAGATTTGATGTACTCCAAACAGAAATGGGGCTCAAATTTTAATAATTTAATAAAAATATAAATAATATATATAATATAAATATAGATAAAAAAAATTAATAAACAAATAAAAGAACAATATTTATATTCTATCGAAACTAATTAATACTATTATTCTTTGACAGAAAATTGGCATTGTCCTTTAAGTTAAGATTCTTTAGACTTTAAAACAAGTATTTATTTTTATGATGTCCACATTATTATATTAGTATTTTATTATTATTTTAATTTTTAATTAGTTTTAAAGTTCCTCAGATAGCTTAAAGCCCGAAAGATTGATAGTTCCCATGACAGCTGCATGATATAGCGGTCAGATAAGGCCGGCTTCGATATATAAACAATGTGCAAAAAAATGTAAGCTAGAAACAGACAGATATATATGTATACATGATATGATATATGTATCGTTGTATATCTTATCATATGGGATCATTTATGGGATTAGAGATTTGCCAAAACTATGTTCTTGACAAAGATTTACTTGGTATTAATATTGTAACAGCTTTTCGTAGATCTAGTATTGTAGTATTTTATATAAAATAGATTCCATTAAAATAGTGTTTTTGTTCAGATTTACTCTCGATACTTACATCAATTAGAGCAGCAAGTGATGTGCACTTTGACCAGGCGTAATTAAAGTTAACGAACGCTTCAATTGGCACCCATGAGTTTGGAACGGTGATCGACGCGATTTCCATAGAGCAGAGCAAATAGGTGGCATAGCAGCTGCTCTGACGCATGCCAATAGAAATAGCCAGAGCTATGCGAGGGGGATACTATATATAGCACGATGTCATTGTATCATCGAATTGAGGGCAAATCAAGCGTGCCAGAGTCAGCAAATTCCCAACCATTTGCCAATGAACAATGCTCTTTAACTGATTTGCCGTTAACCTCTGTTATTTTCCCTATCCAATTCCAGTTGTCGCTTGCATTTGGGTTTCCGGCATTGGGATTACGGCGGGCGCCCATCGTCTCTGGTCGCACAAGTCCTACACTGCGTCGCTGTTCCTGCGCATTCTGTTGGCCTTCATGTTCTCTATTGCAGGCCAGGTAAGTGAAAATCATGGCAAAATGAAACAAAAGTCAATGGTTCAAATTTGTAAACCTTGTTGCCTATAGCTGTGAATCATGGGTTTGCTCCGTCTGAATTGTTAAATTTATTTTAAAAAGATTTTTTTTTTTGAATTTCATGTAGTTTTATTTATATATTTTTATAAATGTATTGAAATTAGTTTATTCCTCTTTTTCTAAACCTCATTGTTGTATATTTAAGTATTGTCTTATACCAAACCTTTAACGAACTAAATAGCACAACAGAAAAAAATACAATCGCAATTGCAATTTTGTTGATAGAATTCAAAGAAGACGCGCTTGAATGTGTGTGTGTACATGTATACAGAAATTCTTGCAATTTGCGCTTGCTGCCTCAAACTCGAGGCCAGCCAAAACATGTTTTCTTTAATAACTTCAGTGTTTCTTAACCGATCTTGATCAAATTTTCTGCAGTAGATCTTATTGTGCTATAGAATATATGTATATTCTCAAAACGTCTGTTGCATTTAAATTGTGGCTTATACTAGTGGGCAATATAAATTGGTTTATTTGCTTGATTTATAGCTATGAGGTAGTAGCGGGGAGGTGGTGATAGCTATAAAATTAAATAAATTAAAAGGTTTAGTTCAGGCTAAGTTTTGGATCTCTTACCTGAATGCTAATCGCTGAAATAAAAATCGGAATTCCGGGTCGGAAGTTGTTTGGCTCGAAACATAGGATAAATGGGGCATGCTTCAGGTTAAGATGGGACTAAATTTAAGGTTCCATCCTTAGGGAAACATAAAAAGTGGAATTCCGGGTTGTTAATGGTTCCGTTTGAACCAGGACTTTGTAGCTTCGGTAGCTGTTTATTGAGGTTAATTCAAGGTTCTGTTCTTAGGGAAAAATAGAAATTTGAATTCCGGAACAAAATGGGTTCAGTTAAAAACCGGTTTGCAGCTTTGGTAACCCCCAATAGAAAAAAAGACTAATCCTTGTGTTTCATTCTTGTAGCGCGACGCTTATACCTGGGCACTTGATCATAGAATACATCACAAGTTTTCGGAAACGGATGCGGATCCACATAATGCCAAGCGCGGCTTCTTCTTTGCGCACGTAGGCTGGCTATTCCTAACGCCGCACCCGAAGGTGATTGAGAAGCGCAAGGTTATTGATATGTCCGACTTGGAGGCGGATGCGGTGGTCATGTTCCAGCGCAAATACTATATACCATTGTTTGCACTCTGTTCGATTGTGCTGCCCGTGCTGGTGCCCTGGTATTTCTGGCAGGAGGATCTCTGGATGTCCTTCTGGATTAACTTTAATATGCGCTTCACCTGGACCCTAAACGTGGCCTTCTTCGTCAACAGCGTGGCCCACATGTATGGCAACAAGCCCTACGACAAGTGAGTATAATCTTCCAGCGCATATTCGAGATGGTTTCTATTAAGGAATATTACTTAATGTCCACAGGAACATCACACCCGTGGAGGCGCCCATTGTCTCGTTTCTGGCCATGGGCGAGGGCTGGCACAACTATCATCATGTGTTTCCCTGGGACTATAAGACGGGCGAGTTTGGCAACTACACCTTAAACGTGACCACGGCTTTTATTGATTTCTGTGCTCGCATCGGCATTGCCAGCGGTCGTGAGTAGTCAACTCATGTACACAAGTTCATTTCAAACTGATCTCTAATACCCTTTATTTCCATTGCTCTGCAGGCAAATCCGTGTCCCCGGATATGGTTATACGACGCGCGGCCAAGTGTGGCGATGGCACCCGTTTCCTCAGCGATGAGTATGCTCACAAGGATCAGGTCTGGGGCTTTGGGGATCGCGATTTGCCGTGCGAGGATCTGGCCGAGCTGGCCAAGATGCAGAATTGAGTGCTGTGGGGATCGCAGTGCTGCTATAGTATTAGCAGTTAATCGCCTGTGTTTTTGTTAATCCTAAGTTTAAGATAAGCGTCCGCTCCCACCCCCAAATTACCTAATATCCAGACACAACATGACCACCCGCCCCTCCTCCTACCGGCTCCCATGCCACATATGTACACTACTCGCCTATGTCGTTGCTTTTGTTACTTACCAAAAAAAAAAAATTAAAGGGCATTAAACTGTTGCATAAACCAGACTTGAGTGTTTCGCATACGATTCAAACCCGCTATGAAGAACGCGTTGCGGACGCATATTTAGCCGCGTCTCATGCATATGCATGTGATCGCCGGGGACCCCATGCTTGGACCCCCTGGCTTAAGCATAGCCGCCGTCTTGGAGTCCGAGTTAGTAGCATTCCACCTGGCGTCCGTGACGGTTGTCTGCTGTTGAGTTACCCACAGGCTCTATAAAATGGGAGGACACGCAAAAACAGATGCAGTCAACGGCAGCAAGGATGCCCCCACAGAGGCGGAGTTCAAAAAGCGTGACGCCCATTGGCCAGTGGTGCTCTTCTATATCCACGTGTATATACTGGGCACCTATGGCATTTATGTAACATTCACGAGCGCCTCGTGGCCAACGATATTATTCAGTGAGTTCAATAAGTCAAGAGCTGTTGTTGTTGCTTGCGTAATTAGAGTTTGACACCTGCCCGATTTTGATTTTTTCTTTGATTAGCGGCGCTGCTCACCCTGCTTGGCATACTGGGCGTGACGGTGGGCGTGCATCGTTTGTGGGCACATCGCACATTTACCGCAACCGCGCCGCTCCGTGTATTCCTCATGCTCTGCCAGACGCTGGCCGGTCAGGTGAGTCTAGCGGTCCCCTTCTAGGAGACGTCACTGGCAAAAGCTTGCGGCAGAGCTTGCAACAGAGCTTGCTCTGCGCACGTTTAGCCAAGACAGCAACCCAAGCACATAACACAACCCCAAACGGTTATGATAGTGTGGGAAACGTGATGTTTCATTTTATTTTGATTTAAAAATTGGAAAACTAAATTGTTACGAGGCCATTTGAATTTGTCAGGATATGTGTAAATTGGACATTTTAGAACGCATAAAATATATATATTCTTTAGATATATCAATAGCCAAGTAGATATAGCCAGGTCCTTCAGCCTGTCCAATTATGCCTATGCATATGCAAAATAGCCTTATCCTTGAAGCTATCGTGATAAAACCTGGCATAGCTGCTTCTTTTTCTTGTAGTCCGAGTACTATATCACATAGCTGCCATAGGAACGATCGCCCGAAAACTTACTGTAGCTTCTGATATTAACGCGTTCATACACACGAACATGGCTAGATCGACTCGACTAGAATATATACACTTTATGGGGTTGGAGATGCTTCCTTCTGCCTGTTTCATACTTTTGCACAAAAACATTATACCCCTTTTACAAATTTTCAATGGGTTCAGGGTATAAATATGTTTATATAATATAATTATATAATATTATATGAATATAACCCCTATTAAAACAACCGTAAAATATTTAACTTTTATAATACAATTTATATAATTGTTTTTTGCTTTAAATATATTTCAAAACAAACGTGCCAAGCTCGTAATACTTGATTAAAATCTCATTAAAAGCATATATCACATATATATATCTATATATAATATATACTATGTATAATTTGCACAAAATTTTAGTTTTTAATAGGAGCCACACTTTTGCCTTTCAAAATATCTACGCAAAATTTGGTTCCTACAAATTGAGGACAGGTTTTTTTTATGACAATTTAATTTTATTACATTTTAAACAAGTAAGAGGCTCTAGTCAGGAGTTCCCAACTAGGGGATACCCTGAACCCTCTTCTTTCAACAGCAGCTCGCGCTACGTGCTCGTTTGCTTTAGTAATACAAATAAATTTTAAAAAAAAATATAGTTTCCTCGGGTAGGGTTCGAACTCGCAACAGACCGCACTTTTTGCCGAGAAAAAAAAAACGAATTAAAATATCAGCACAGAAAACAATACAATCACAATTGCAGTGCTGTTTATAGAATTAAAAGAAGACGCGCATGAATGTGTGTGGGTACATGTATACAGAAATTCTTGGAATTTGCACTTGCTGCCTCAAACTCGAGGCCAGCAAAACATGTTTTCTTTAATAACTTCTGTGTTTCTTAACCGATCTTGATGAATTTTATAGAATATTTGTATGTTCTTAAAAAGTCAATTGTGGCTTATATTGGTGGGCAATATAAATTGGTTCATTTATTTGTTTAAGATATCTATGCGGTAGTAGCGGGGAGGTGGTGATAGCTATAAAATTAAAGATATTTGATATACATATGTATATATACTATTCTAGAAGCTACATGTCAAGTTTGGTGACTCTAGCTCATATTATTTACCAAAATTGCTCAAAAAACATGATTTCGATATCGATTTTTATCGATTACTTGGAAACGGAGCAAGTTATCGAATATCGAAAACAAACTCGTGCTGCGCATGGACTAGGAGGACCTACAGCATTTTTCAAGTCTCTAGCTCTTATGGGTTTTGATGTCCTTGCGTTTATACATACGGTCAGACGGACGGACAGACGGACGGACAGACAGACGGATATGTCTAGATCGACTCGGCTATTGATGCTGATCAAGAATATATATGCTTTATGGGGTCGGAGTTGCTTCCTTCTGCCTGTTACATATTTTGCACAAAAACATTATACCCTTTTTACCCATTTTCAATGGGTTCAGGGCATAAATATGCAACGACCTTCAAAATACCTAAACATAGTCCATTAAGCTTATAGATATTTGGTTTTTAACCCCTGCTTAGCTTAACATAACTTTAAAAAGACTTCTCAATGCATTGTCTTTGGTTTAGGGCACCATTTACAGCCGCGTGCAGGCACATCGACTGCATCATGCCAAATTCCAGGAGGACGAGGATCCGTATTACAGCAAACAGAGCTTCATGTATGCCCAGCTCCATGGCAATTTGCTGAAGTACTCGCGGCAGCAGGAACAGCTGCTGCTGACTGTGGATATGACCGATATGGAAAGCGATGGCATTGTCATGTTCCAGAAGCGGTAGGTCTTCCAGCTAACCATATGCCGGACGAGGCGGTTCCAACTCCAACTGATATGAATGTGCTTTTACCCCCTCCGCCAGCTACTATGTGCTGCTCTATATTGGGCTCAACGTGCTGCTGCCCGTGAACACGCCTTTCCAGTACTTTGGCGAAACGCTGGGCGTGTCTACGTTTGTGGGCTTCTGGTTGAGGAATCTTATTGTGCTGAATGTGGGCAATCTGGTGAACTCGGCGCACTTCATTTGGAGCATACACAAGGGTTTCAAGCCCACCGATTCCAATAGCATATTCTTCATCACGAAATCCTTCTGGCCGCAGTTCCATTACCTGCTGCCCCATGACTATCAGAGCGGTGAATTCGGAGACTATGCCAGTGGCACGGGCTCCACCATGATACGTGTCTTTGCGGCGCTCGATCTGGCCAAGAATCTGCGCACCATCTCCTCGGTGGCGGTGCGCAACGGCCTCACGTTGGCCGTGGATACAAAGCGCCCCATTGTCGAGTGCATCGAGGAGCAGGTGAAGCTGGAGCAAAATGCTTTGCCAGCCAACCATTATCTCAATCGGGAAAAGTTCATGTGAGGCGCTGGAAGTTGGCCTCAATCTAGAGCTGACAACAATAAAAAATAAAAGGAATTAACCAAATGGCAGCAATAATAAAGAATGGTCATTGAAAGTGAAACACATTTAAAAAAAGTGTATTCTACTCGGGTGTGCTCGACTCGTAGATATTCTCATACATTCTAGCTTGCTTCTATACACACACACGCACGCGTTGCAGCTGTGCTTCTTCTTGAATGCATTCGGTGCTTATAGTCCGATCATTTATTAAACTTAAAAGGGCATGAGCATGGCCAAATATATGTATAGACCAAATCAGAAGGCTTTAGGCTTGAAACATGATTTTGAATTTTGTGGGGATAGGGTTGAGGTAAGCAAAAAGTGAAATGTTCCTAGTCTGCGTATACTGTACGATAGCCCACATACCAAATTTTGCGAAAAAAGCTCTTACAGTTCTTACAGCCTTAAAAAATCAGTTAAATTCTTCTCAAGTCTGTAGTCTTGAAATTACGGAGATTTACGCGTTCATACAGGCGGACCGACAGAAAGACACGACTAATTCGGGTCAGACACTCCTGATCAAGATCGGATATGCATCTTTCTGCCCGTTACGCACACATGCCCAAAATAAATATACCCTTTCTTACCTATAAATATAAAGTGAAATATTCGAAATCTGGTAAAGGTATACCTAAAAAAAAAAACAAGTCTCAAAATCGATACTTATCAAAATGATAACATTCACTTGCTCTGCGTTTGATTTAAGAGAATACTTATAAGTTAAAATATATAAGACGTGCAGAGGAACAAATGGAGGGACATGGCTAGATCGACTTGGGGACGAGATCAAGTATAGAAAATATACTGTATGGGACGGAGCTTCTTTATACCCTTTTTAATTATATTCGATGGATCAATAGACTTTCAAGGTTTGTCAAGCAAAGTTGCACCTCGGATCTGGTTGCCCAATGCCCAGCTGCGATAACTATGCCGATAAGTGCAAACCCTAAACCAACTGCAAGCCCAAAAGCATGTGCTGGACCGACCGGCCCTAAACAAGCTCACAAATCTTTATAATTAGGCTTTCGAATTTGTTTTACGAGTGCCAACGACATTTTCAACATCAACATTTGTTTTTTCTGACTGCCTTTCAACTTGGCCATCGAATGGCTTGAGGTTTTCCCAGCGGACGGGGGTTTATCTGAGGTGCGGATCGGTCGTTGCATTGTTGCTGGCACTTTGAGCAAATTAAATGAGTCGCACTCAATAAATTATCACCAATACGCAATGTTTGCCCAGCGCTTGATTGATGCGTCAATATTTGCGCACTTGGCCCGCACAGAAGCCTGGTTGAGATAGAAAAAAATTGAAATAAAACTCCGCTTATGATGCGTCTAAAAGCTAAGTAGCATACATAGATCGACGGGTATTCTATTCGCACAGCTCCTGCTGGTTACCAACTCAAATATTGACTAGTTCAACAGTTTTTGGGACCAGGTTTTGCGCTTGAGCTGCGCCCAATCAAGCTGGGCGCGTTTAAATCTGAGTTCTGCATTGCAAATTAAATGGAATTTAAATGTGCTTTTTCATGCCCTGTACCCAGAAAAGTGAGATACAAAAGGGTATACTGTTTTTGTGCGCATCCATGTGAAAGGCAGAAGAAAACAAATTTGTTCCCATAGTGTACATATATTCCTTATAGGGACGATGGAATCGACCTCGGAAACTACAAAAGCTAGAGGTTTCAAATTTTAAATATATATTCTACTATGCCATGCGCAAGATGAGCTTATCATTTTTTTTATCGATATCTCGTCCCATTTCCAAAATTTCGATAAAAATCGATTTTCAGATTTGGATTTTTGAGCATATCTCGAGAACTTTAAGAGCTGTTTATGCCAAATATGGTATGTAGGCTGTCGGATAGTATACAAGGACTAGAAATATTTCACTTTTTGGATAACTCCACCGATTCTCATAAAATTCCTTAAAATAGCCACTTTTGAAGCTAGGGTCTTGTGATTTGGAATGCACATATATTTGGCTCCCCTGCTTATGCCCTTCAAATTTCATGAAGATTGGACCTGAAACATGTGAGTTATTTCTGCATTCAATTTTCAAAAGTGTGGAGCAAGCGGATGAAGCAGCACCCAAGAGTTTGAATCTGTAAGAAACTACATAATTCGGAATTCATATTGGGCTATATTTATGATTTGAAGAATGTAAAGCGTGGTCTTATAAACAATAATCTTATTAATATGATTGAGGTATACAGGGCATTTTGCAGTCGAGTACACTCGAGTAAAACGTTTTTGTGTTGGCTTCTCTTGTGGTGGGAACATGGTGTTTGCTCTTGTCTACAAACGCTTGAAATTCGTCAGACTTCCTTTTAATAGATAATGATCATCAAATATCAGACATATGCTCAGAAATAGCTCTATTTGCATAGAAGGCCAAGACGATAAGTTAAAGAAATTATATGAGGTGTCGGTATGGGTTGATTAACCAGTTATGGAAGACTATAGACACATATATTAGACATATCTTAAGATATGTTTTCTTGTTAACAATGCGGCACATTCTAATTCCTTTCGCTTTTCTTTTTTTACAGAGAATTCTTGAACCCAATTTAGTATTTTATTGAATATATACAGATATTGAGCTATATATAGTCAAATTTTGTGCTTATTTGATATTTTGGTTTTTATAGTGTGTGTGTGTGTGTGAGCGAGGCACTTGTACTAATTCCTAATGGCTGTGAAGTGATTACTAATGAATTTGCCAGCTAAAAGCTGCGCCGGCGCAAAGTTTGCAGTTGTTTCGAATACCCTTGGAGTGGGGTACTTTGGCAATGATATACAATGTATGTTGGTCGAACAAATTCTTTCTATTTTATTTTCTTTTCATTAAAGCGTTTACTTATTGGCTAAATTATATGGTAAATTTACTAGAAATGAAATAAATCTGCTTCTTATAGCCCCATCAAGTGGATTATTAGATGCTTATGTATATTACAAAGCTTTGATAGATAAAGAGAGCTCTCATAGGGCTAGAAAAATGTAAATAACCTAAATATTGAATAAATAGAATTGTAATTTAATTGTAGGTTGCCTGTTTAAGTCAGAGTTTTGACTAAACTAAAAATATAATAAAAAAACGCTTAAAAATTTCTAAAAAATGAGTAGTTTTTATGTAAACTATTCTGTGTTTACAGATAGATTGTAAGTAAACAAGATACTTAGGAATAATGAGACTGAATTATACTTTATAATTATAGAGTATGAATATATAAAAATATCTAATAATATACTAATATATATTCTAATATGCCACGCTATACTATTTGACAGATCTCTAGTTAAGATCAGTTAAAAATATTCTATTTTTTATTTTTTATAAATTATAAACTAAATCATAAAGCGTATTTGATATACGGTGCTTCAACGACAGCTGTTCTTCATTGATTTGACTTTTTTTGTGGCAGTGGCAGGCACAAAATACTTTGTAGCTAAACACACACACACACAAATAAATATGTGTGTGTGTGTGTGCGTGTGTGGATAGCTTTTTGTTCATGCTCCGCTTGGGCATTAAGTTTGTTGCAAATTGCACTTGCGTTGTGCCTACTTTTGCGCTTTGTTATGTTAATTTGTTTTTGTGTTGGCTGCTATTTTTTTATTTTCATAGAAATAGTCAACTGAGCGACAGTTGAAGGTTGCCCAGATACGCAATTTATTGTTGACGGCTTTAACTTGTGTAATGTTTAATATTTAATGTTTATTGTTCAATGGCCAATGATGCCTAATGCAGAGCATGTTGCTCTGTTTGCGCTGCCGCTGCCAGTGTGACCAGAGCTTGAGCAAGTAAATACCCAAATCACACAGCGGAGGGGTGAAATTTCAAAGTACCAATGTACAGCTAATAAAAGGACCAGTGTAGCAGTGAATAAATAAGTACCAGTTTTTGGTGCATTTTGGCTATAACCCTGAACAAAAGCATTCGCTGCTTTGGCCAAAAACAAATGACGCCTTTTCAGAAAAAAACCTAAGACAAAAAAAAACCTTTAAAAAATAAATAAATGAACCTTAGCCAACTAATCGACGGCAAATTGTGTTTTCATACGACTCAAAGCCCCGCAATGAATGGCTTTTGATTGTGGCCAAATGTGGCTCAAAAGAAGGAAATCATTAGTTTTCAGAAATATGACGCTTACTCGCATTGTTAGCGCTCAAAGTACGACCAAACTTTTGGTAATGATGCGTATATAGTCATCGGCTTTGTTCAGATTCGTGCAATTCTTCTGGGCCCAGAATGTTTCATTGTTTTGAGCTCATAAAAAACGCTGACGCTGCGCAAAGTTGGCTCCGTGAAGCTGCGCAATAAATCAGAAAAAAAAACACGCTACTGACTGAATATTTTGCGAGTGTTGGCCAAATGAATACATATGTACGAACACTCAGCAATATTGAAGCAAACGAAGTAATTTGTCAAATCCTCTCACAATTTGCAATGTGTGCTAATAGATCGTAAAGTTGTCAAAGATGTGTGTTTGATCTTGAATATAATTTGTTCACCTCATTGCAGAAACTTTGCTGACAAATTTATTGTTAATGTTTTGTTGTAAATATTATTAAGTAATATTCAAATAATCAAATTTTATTAAATCTGTGGTGATTTTGCTTGTTAGGTTTTATAGAAAATGCCCAAATCTATTCTCAATTAAAGTGCAAGCTACGCACTTAGGCATAATTATAAATAGGTCTAAATTTAGGGCTATATAGAGGTAAGGTTATTTTTTCAATTAATATCAAATAAAATTTAGATACGAGCAAATCGACAAGAAAAGAGTATTGATTCGAAACTCAGAGTTGGATATTATATAATTATTATGCCTAAGTTAAAGCCAGAGCTCCAACTCAAAAAGACTTGGGTGTAAAGTTAATAAAAGAAAGGAAAAAGTGGATATCACGTTTTATTATATAAAAGTTTCAAGAAACGGACTTCGTACGTTAGTCAAAATATTTAAATATTTACG